CCCCACATTTAGGTCCAGTCTCGTCGCGATCGTAGAAATACGATAATTCAACGCCAATGCAGCGAACGCTTACCCATGGAGCCAAATCAAAAATGCACAAACGCTGCCACCCAACCCTTAGAAAGCTGTATGCGTAGTGAGAAAACCATTGCACCCGATTAACAAATGTGTGTTGGTGAACTGTCACCAGAAGCATATTCCATGGACAAGGATCCGAATAGTTATTGAAAGTGTATTGTACAACGGAATATGCTCACAACAACTTGTAGATCGACGATCCGTACTCTAAAGGTTGCTAATGCATAACGGAGGAATCGAGACCTGAAAGGTCTCGATGGAAATGAAAAGCGGCATAGTGTAGCGCTTTCGAAGAATTAAAAAAGTCCACTTCACTAGGACAGAATCGATAATCAGTTTCATGAGTTCGAGTTCAATGTAGCTCGAAATTATGGCAGCCAGATACTAAGAAAACAACAAAAGCCTCGTCGAACAGCCATATGAGTGCGTGAGCAGACTTTTCACTGTAATTCGTTAGTCGGATCAGTGTGACATACACAGGAGGCACATCTGTTGGGTTTGAATGTGTCATACACCGAGAGCGTATCCACCTTAACAGCTGCGCAGTTGTGTTGCAGCACCAAACTGCTTAGATCCCTGTGATTCTGTCGTTGTCTCAGATGAAAATGGATGAATTATGAGGCATTGGTAGTTAGTTCCTGCGTATTTTACTGCGTAGCCATCGTGCTCAGTGAATGAATGTTTATTGAAGCAAGAGGTAATGAGTATTCATCCTTCTGTGAATCATCCCCTAGAACCCGTGGTTGAGAACAACGGGCCACAGAAGATGAGCTGTAAGTGCCGCCGCGACTCAGTAACAGGCTGTGATCCACCACGTACACCCATCATCCGCCGTCAAGCACATTTTTAAACTGCAGGTGACGAGGTTGACTTACTGAACTACCACCGCCCGATGCCACACTATAGGCTAGTTTGGAGGGTTACTAATGTTGAGTCAGGTGGGATTTGAATAAAATTTGCGTTGGAGTGTCATCACGGTCACACTCGGTGTTATAGTCAGTGCATATCTGGGAAAACAATGAACAGTCGTTGCACCATATAGGGAATCGTCAGCAGGGCACGTTCCTTCTGTCCCTAATGTGATACGATTCATAACTCTAATTGCTCTTTACACAATTGGTTGATTTAAACCCAACGTTTCACAGCTCTCTACTAAGTGTTCAGTCCATCAAGGTGATAGTGTTTGAAAAGTTGTAGTTTTGTTATTGGGCACTTATTTCCCCTCCCTTCAGCAATAATGATTGCTTTTGCAACAGACTGAACTTCAATGCTTTTCCGGGTTTGGACTGGACTTCAGTCTGTTGCAAAACCGCTAGAACACCAATTCTCCTGTGTATGGTTCGTGAAGGTAGAAATTCGAGCAAGCTTGGGACGTTCAAGGACGCGCAAACTTCAAGCAATTAGTGATGCATCACCGAAGGGAATTGCGTTTGGCCTAACGATGAACACCCGGATGCCGCCAACCATATATATGTGCGCCACAACCTCCAAATAGGCATGGAGCCATCAAAAACCATGAAACTGAAAGGAAGGTACAGATATCGTTAAAAAACAACACAACACGGATGGAGTCCATGGTTTCGTCAGAGGACGAGGTGCTACCAGGTTGCCCAAGCAGAAGTAGGGTGTTGACTTAGGGGACATCACCCCGAGCCTTTGGTCGAATGGCCTGTCCGCAAGGCAGCGGAGCGAATTCAGGGAATCGCGCCCATTGGGTGCCGGTGACTGATTGCTCAGTTCATACGTCTTTCGTTTGTCAAACATGAGCCCAATGCTCCCCACAATTTCAACAATAAGTTGCTGGAATACAATGCTTCGCCAGGATGAAGCAAGGGGCAGTGTTTATTTAATGGCGAGTCATATCTTCCAGGTCACAGTGTTGTTAAACGGAGATATGTGGCTTTTATAGGGAGATCGACTGCCAGGCAAAAACACACCACGTCCAAAAACACTGCCGCCGAACAATTTGCTGGAACGGGATAATCCAAAACCACCCAGCTGGCACCCCGAGGAGGTTGTTCGGCAAGCCATACAGATACAAAATTTAGCACTACGCGATTTGCAGATGGCTCTCCAATGGAATTATGCACATAGATGAGCAATAAGACCACCATAATTAGAGTTTTTTAGTTAGGGAACGGCGACCGCGTACAGAGTCACAACGATTGAATCGAACGCGAATGAGCACCAGATCGGCTAGTGATGGAAACGATTAGGCACGTGCGGTGCACTCTGGAAGTTACAGTTTCGAATCCGCGTAGGTGCAGGCGAACCCGCGGTATACTCAACTCTCACACGACTAGCGGGAATCGCGTGGTTGCGAAACGCCGGTATGCGGTGCACGGGCGTCCTGCTGGACGGGTGCGGAAGTGCACATTTGTGTAGTCAATAGCAAACGGCTAACGTGGTCTTCCATGAATGTCGCTTTGGTGTTGTACTATGCCGGTGGAAGGACGAAGCACATGTTCATAGCCGGAATGGTGCACAGCGCTGAAGCACTGTGAAGCAATGTTAGGAATCTAGGTGAAAGCAAAGTAATGTTTGTGGAAGCAGTACTCAGGCCGACATGCTGCTCCCGGTTTGACATAGGCACTGGTAATCGGCAACGATTGGGAACAACATGTGAGCAATGAATGTGTTCGGAGTCGCGTATTTGGTACAAAGAAAGCAAGTGAATCGCACAGCATCATTATATCACGCACCAGGCATCGACGGCTGAGCCGGGTGCTGCGCATGCCAGCACACTGAGTCCCGCGATTTGCATTGCGCGCCGGGGTGCGGTTAGAAGAGGTGAGCTAAGCGAGGACTTGGTCGAGAGAAATGAAAACCCTCACTTCGAAGCTGGCTTCGGTTGGTGCATCCTAACTGCCTGGTTAGGTTCCCAAGCACGACGAACACGTTTGGTTGGACAAGCTTGCTGAGATGGCGATTTGTGTTGTGAGTTTCTTTGTCCACCCGTCCTCTTTGGATTCCTCCTCCAATTCCGATATTGTAAGAAATGCACAATATACTATTTAACATGATAGTACTTCTTTTTGAATTTATTGTAGTGGAAGTTTTGGTGTCGTATCTTTGTGTATTGCGGCGTATTAGCAGAGCTGTATCTCTCACCCTTAGCTAACGTGTATTGATGATGATGGAGAGGGCCACGGACTGTTGTGTAATGCAGAGGAATTAATGCATTGTCAATTACTTAAGCGGATACTGAGAGTGGGAGCAGACATAGCTTAAGTGGAAAAGGCATTCCACTACAGACACAAGCGAGGATAACGAGAAAAACCCTGGCACTATTCCAAACGGATTTGGTTTGCTGTATTCTGGGCTGGCGATGCGGCTAAGTTCCGGTAGGTAGATGCAAACGGGAACATGGGTTAGTGAGTATTTAGCATACCATCATACGGACGCCGATCCTATTTGTTGCACCCTCCTGGGGCTTTCGTTCTATGGAAGGTGGTATTACTATACTTGAACTGCTGACTATATCTACATTAATTTCTATTCTCAACTTCTACGTCATGCTATTACTTTTAACCGAGAGAATAAAAAAGTTTTGAAAACGAACAATTTTTGTTACTATCTGATCACGTGAAGAATTAGCAGGGCACGTAGTTGGTCTTTGTCTCGAACTGTTGAGATAGATACCATTTACTTATTATGTGTATGAGAAATGGTGCCCTTTGCTGAGGCTGATGTTGCATTCATGATGCTTCTTTTCTGCAGTCGGGCTAAACCAACTTACTCTTAAACTAGCTCTTTTTAATGTGGATAAAATTAATTACATTTTATTTGGTTTGTTCTGCGTACTTGATAAGCTTCTCCCAACTTGCACACGTCGCTCATGCAAATTGTGGTAAACTTGCGTAATTGTATCGCGTGGTATTTTTTAAATAACTTTCGGACATTTTGTACTTACCACGGATTCACTTATAACCAATTTCGTCTATATGCTCATTTAGCGAGTATTTATGTCGTCATATGCGTTTACTTTATTCGATATCGGCATTTTGAGTGATTGACTGTTGTTTGACATCCCAGGTGTGGCTGCGCTTGATGTGTATGCTGACAAGATGCCTACCTGTCTATTACCCACTACGTCGTCCATACTGGCTCCAGGAGACAGTTGGTCGTTGCTGGAGGGGACGGGGTGCATGGTCCTTGTGGCCGTGCTAGGCTCGAAGTGGTTCCATGCACTCAGTGTGGAGCGAACTACGGTTCAGCCCTCGCCTTGTGTGCACTTGATTCCCAAATACAGCGTGCTTGTGTTTGCCTGTGAAGGAGTGTGGGTCGGCTCCGTTGATGAAACGTGGTTCCCATCCGCATGCCTCCCAGTCTTATTCCTTCGGGTTTACACTGGATATGGGGTGTGTGGATGGTGCAGCGCAAGTTACCTATGGTCCCTCTGTGGGCGTTGGCGTCCTGTGGCTGGCCACAGTGACAGGCAAATGGGAAACCAGATGCCGCCAACCATGTACGGGAAATGGGACAGGTCTTCGATATTCTTGGACGCCCTTTGTTGTGGAACTTTGACAGCACTGACATCGCGTTTCTACCATGGTTGATAAGCTTCGATGATGTATCTATCCTACAACAAGCTTTGAGTAAGCTTAGATAGTTGCGGTAAGAGGGAGAAGTCAAATCCCCGCCGTGTTTGATCTCGTATGTATGGACCTACAAAGATTGCATCAAGTGGTCGAAGACATCCTGAACTCGGACTCCAATGTCAAATTATTTTCGACTCAGTATGAAGGGAAGATTAAATTTTCCAAGCATAAATAAAGCGATTGATGGATTATTCGATATGACCAACTCTTACCTAACAGCAAAGTGCGGAAAGACTGATCAGTCAGGAAGTAGTTCTGTAGAAAACTGGCATCTCCTCCGCCGCCGCCGCAACAAATCCCGTGGGCTCGCCGAGACGAGAATGAGTTAAAAGAAAATATATTGTGATTTACGGCCTGAGAGTTGAAAACGATTGCACAACGACCCAAGGGGTCACAGACTGTGAACCCAATAATAAAGATCAGCCGTCAAAATTGCAGCAACGATTAAAATCAATCAAAAATAGTTGTTGAAGAGAGGAATAGTCTAAGCAAACAGAAACCGAAGAAAACTTTAGCAACAAGTAAACTCTCACAAAATATGTTTCTAAATGATTAGTATATCGTGGCCATTTTCAAATGCACACTTAGCAGAATAAATGTAGCAAAAATCTTCAATCTGTTCACTGAGCGTTCAACTATGTTGAGGAAACAGATAAATCATTAAAAAAACATTCCGTGGGTTTAAGTCCCATATAGCGAATAGCATCAAATTTCGTTCAGAACGCTGTGCACGCTATGCAGTCCCTTGAAGTAGCGCACCGTCTTAACCTTCAGTTCCATTGTGGCGTTTTCATCCACCACAAATAGTGCTTTGGGATGGAGCTAAAAGTAAAAGAAGAGTGTGAGCGAATAAAGGGAGAATGATAGTGGGATGTGTGGAAATCAGCACTCGCCCGCTCACCTACCTGAAAGGCGGACACTGTCCACATGTGGCTCACACTCTCTTCGATCGCTTTGCTGAGCGCCAAAGCTTTTGTGGTACCTGTGGCAAGAATCATCACTTCCTCCGCGTCCATTACGGTGCCGACACCGACAGTGAGAGCGCATTCCGGAACCTGTGAGAGTCAAAAACATAAGGAATAAGTAATCACAGAAAATGCACGGCCGTCAAGGCATGTTCTCGACAAGAAAGAGTTACTCACTGATATATCCTTCCTTTAGTGGTACAATGGTTAAGAGTTTTTGCATGAAACATCTGTGCCCTGGGTTTGAGGAACTTCACGTTTCTGTCTAGTGCATAGTGCTTGAATAGTGTACCAACCTCAGTATAATCGCTTAAGGTCGCATAGAAGCAAAACGACGGTAAAAAGCTGATGTATTGTTGGTGCACTTAATCCCCTTAATATCGATGGTTTCTCGATGGTTACCTCACACCCACCATACTGATGGAGGCCACGATAGTGGATGGCGCCCATGCGTGTGGCGCAAGCAACTTCCGGAACTATGCTAGTTGCATACAGATGATGATGCTTTTTTATTGGTAATTTGGTTGCGATAGTGAAGTTTGAAATGAAGTCACAACTAGATTGCTAAGTGACAAAGGAAAAAGTGGAAAAGTTACGGTTGAGGATTTGTGTCATGATACACAAATTGCTGCCTGTGGCCTAAATTTCTTACCACCGCTATTCATAGTAAGTTGTTCTGCATCCACGACCGGTGGCCGAAATAATAAAGGCGCCTGCCTTGTCGTCTAATAGTAACTGGATCGAATTTGCGCAGGTGCAGCCGGACTCGCAGAATACTGAAATTACGCGCGACTAGCGGTAACATATGGGCCTGATGGTCTATATATCGGCCTGTCACCTGTGCGACAGGGGTTCAAATCCCGGCCGCGCCAAGATTAAGCCGGCCCGTAACCTTAGGGATCACAAGCCTGCCTTGTAACCTGGGGACGCGAGTTCCAGCCTGCGTAGAGACCGGGCGACTGGTGGTGGTTGCGCGACGGCGAAGCGTCGGTATTGCGTACCGGTGTATTGCTGATGCCTTATCTACCGCCGATACGACTAGGGATGATGGTTGCTTGGTGGCACAATGTGTCTGCGCGTACTGCTGATGCCCTTCTACATCTCGACAGTCTCCTAACAAGCAAGGATCATTGTATCAAGTTATGATCCTGCACACAGGTGTAATGGACAGAAGCGTGATTCCACTCGTTAATCGGGCGACGTGATGCATTATATTGGCAAACATTCATCCGATTTGGAGGAGTCATGAGGGACCAAAATCACTTCGTCTAGCCACCTATGCAGTTGCTTTCAATGATGCTTATACTTAATCAGCACACGTGTTGACGAGGAAGCGTGAGTAGGCAAGTAAAATGCTAACCTGAGCGGAAAGTAACGTTACTATATAAACAGGAGTGAATCAAAGTTTTCGACCCAACCAAGATGAAAGTGAACAGAACAAAAGGATTATCTTATAAAACCATTTGTATATTGTGAAAATATCGGTGTAAAATTTCAAGTTTCTAGTTATTTGCAGATAACCTGACCTAGGATATTCAATGTTTAAAAATAGACGAATTTAAAAACCGAGGCGTGATGAAGTAGCTAGAAAAACGTTCATGAAGCCATCAAAAATTCACTCATACATGGTTGATACACATGATGAGGGCTCCTTTCATATTCCACTGCTAAGAAGTGGGCTGAGAATATCAAGACAAGCAGGGAGAGCATGTAAGAGGACCCACGGTCTGGCAGAGCAAAACCTACGGCATGTGATGATCACGTGGAAGCCATTCCCCGAATGACTATAAAGGAAGAAAGTTATCGATTCCTCAGACAGATTTGAGTATGGGGGCACCAGTTATGGCTTAGTGTAGATGGTTTAAATGGAAATCTTGGGAATGCTGGAAAATTCCAGGCAACTTTTGGCCCATTTCTGGACAAATCCCGCAATTTTTCAGAAGGATTGTTACGCAGAGTGAAACTTAGCTTCATCAGTTTGAAACAGGGTCAAAGATCCAAAGTAAACAACGGAAACACAGTAGTTCACCTTCCAAATTAGTTACGTCAAGTGGCTTCCGCAGGAAAGATGTTGACATCTGTCTCATGGGACAATTAAAGTAGAATTATGATAGACTTCGTGTTGAAGAGTCAGATAATCACAGGCGAGTAATACACTTTGAAATTATACCAAGTAAAAAAATAAAGCAGATAAAAGCTGAGAGGGAAGCTCGTAGCGGTTCTTTTGTATGATAACGCACCAGTTCACATTTCTCGAGTGGCCTTTTGTGGCTTTAAATTGCTGCCACATCCCACTTAGCCATGGGAGTTTTATCTGTTCCATAAGCTAAAATTTCACCTCCGAGGCCACAGATTTGCCGATAATGATGAGCCGGTTAATGTCCTGGGAGCTGTTTTTACAGAATCAGTCTTCAAGCTTTTTCCACACAGAGACAGCAATTCTCGGACATCGCTGTTGAAAAGTGACAAAAATGATTTGGATAGCAAGTTTCTTTCTATGACGGTCGAGAACCTTTTGATACACCTTCGTAAGTGGGGTGACATAAGGTAAAAGTATGATTATTCGTTAGTTTTTTATCCTGTGGTTACTTAAGAGATCGACAAACGTAAGGAGAATAAGGACAGCCCACGTCACAGTCGCACTTCTGATTTTGTGAGAGTCCGCCGAGTCGTATCGCCTCGCTGTGCGTTTAACCAATAAAACGTACGAATATACGAAAATACCGAGCACTATGTTAATAAGAAGTTACCATATTATCGCATTTTGAACTTCGATAATGTCACCACTAGCGTGTAGTTGGCCCATTGAGAAGCAACCTATGCAACTGTCGACCTAATCATCTACCATCGATTCGCCTACCTATTTGTGGACGTTTTTTCTTCAAATGTACGTCACGTCGATGGAAACGCTTTTCTGCTCATAGCATGTGTCAGAATTTAAGAGTTCATAGATAAAAACGCTTTGCCAAATTGGAGTTCGAATTGAGGAAACTCCTCCTACAGCGCAGTGAGTGAAACTCAGCAATGGTTGATAGCGGCGTTCAGTAGGCAACGGCAATCGTGAATAATCGATACTTCGGATGTTAATGCTAAAGTATAGACACATAAAGTGTAGTAACAAGGCGGCTACAAGTTAACACGCCGCTGACTTGTAGATATGATTTGGGAATACTGCAACTCAACAGGCGGTAGAAAGTGACCGTCGTCGAGAAAGTGTTGAATTTGCTAAAGCCATAAAATTTGTTAAGTGTTTGCGTAAGGAAATTAGAGACAACCGCTCGACGGTAGATGTGAAGACAAGTGTGCGGAAGGACAAACTGGTAGAGGAGGGAAGTTGTTGAGGCTGGTGTTCTTTGGAAAGACAATGCTCTCTGTATATACAACCTAAGAGGTGACCAGGTTTGGATACATTGCGTTAAATCCTCAAGTCGATGCAGCGAGCAGCGTGATTTCAGCCAAACAATAGCAGCAGGCCAATGCGAGGGGATGGCAGTGATTAGTGCATTTCGGATCAGTTCAGCTCAGTTTAGTTGGAAAACTATCATCCGGGCAACGGAGTGTGGTGGATCCAGTTGCCATGATGCACGTCTCTGCGTCGCACTAAGTGATAGTTAAGAGAAAAGTGGGGTTGGGTGCAAACAGAATACTATGAAACGGTTTAGGAAAGAGCCGCGAAAAACGAATCAGGATGGAAAATTAACACCTAGAGGCAGCAACGCTACTGTGTGCGCGATTGCCCCACGTTTACCAGTATCCAACCACTGGTGTGGACCATCCAGAGGTCATCATGCAGGAAGACGGCACGCAGCAGCATGCTCAAGTCCCCCAGTCAATGTACCCATAAGCTATTGCCAAGTCATCGACTGGTCACCTCACGAGTTCGCACTATTTTGTTCGGCAATGGCGTATAATGCACGCCGTGAAAGCCGATCGAAGGGCATATGGAGGACATGGCCTAGCCAAAGTAAGCGAGTGAGTTTAAACAAACACCAGAAGTCTTCTTGTCAAAGACTAACGGGAGAATTAAAGCATTGTTCACCGCGTGTTCCCATCAGATATGGGGAGTTATCTGAGAAACACCAGTGATCAAACACGGTTAACAATGCGAATCAATAAGGCCTCACATGGATAGAGTAACACCGGTCTCAACGCAGTGTTGTACACCTTACCTTCCGCTGACATACTGATACCCTGACGTCTCAATAGATGGTTGGAGCTCTGAAAAGCCACACGGGCTTTGTGTATATGCGAAGTAAACTACTCAGTGACGTGATTAGCACAGGTGACACAACTATCAAGATAAGTGAACTAACCCACCACCTGCAGTGGCTGTTCGCTGATAGTTAGAACAAATGGCGCACCGTTTCAGTCCTGAAACAGTACTTTGCATTCTGGAGATGTAAACCACCTGCTAAAGCGTGAACCGCTACAAGTCAGTCTATTCAGTAGTGGTTTCGTAAACACTGCGTCAGACCAAAGCAGAGCTGTCAGTTGGTCATCCTGCAGAAATGTCACTCGGGAAGCGGCTGAGGGAATAGAATCATTCATGACCAGTTTGAAGAGGAAAGGAGATACAGGATAACCCAAGCGAACCCCATTTGTCGTGGGAAGGTGACTCAGGAGACAGTTTCCGGTAGACCCTTAACCGGCCTCGAGAATCACGGTAGAGACTACAGAATAGAAAGATATTTTCCAGATACACCCTTCACGGATACGCAGCGCACACAAGTTGGCGTGGTCAAACAAGTCGAAGGCGGCTTTCAATTCCAAGAAAACCACAATGGTCGGACGTCTGTAAGTGCATCTCTGCTCTAGCATTGGAGTAAGTGTGTCTGATGAAACCAGGACAAAGGCAGAAGAGAGCCATATCGAGTCATCAACCATTCTGTGTATGTTGACGTCGATAGCGTACACAGAGATATCAGTGAAGGATACCGATTAGGAAACGATGCAATGAAGGTTTATGTGCCGATATGCCGCACCAGGACAGGGGAGAGATTCTTCCCGGTAATGTATTCCACGATATGGAACAAACTACCAGAAAACACTAGACAGATTGAAATAAGATGTTTAAGAGAGAAATACAGGAG